TGTGTGTGTGTGTGTGTGTGTGTGTACGGATTTTTTGTACACGCATTTACTTCTACAATTTTTTAGATACCGGGTTGAAATTTTGCACACAAATATCCTTATAGTTATTAAGTGTGCAAGTTGAAACTTGGACATTGCTTCCTTAGAGTTATTAAGTGTGCAAGTTGAAACTTGGACATTGCTTCCTTAGAGTTATTAAGTGTGCAAGTTGAAACTTGAACTTTGCTTTCTTAGAGTTCTTAAGTGTGCGAGTAGAAATCTGCATATTGGTTCAGTTTTTAAGTGGGCAAGTATATTTTTATTTTTTTATTTTAGTGAATGTACATAATTATGTATACAGGCTCCTAAAGAGTTAGGTGTGCGAGTAGAAACCTGCACATTGCTTGATTAGAGTTTTTAAGTGTTTAAGTAGAAACCTTCGCACACAAAGCTTCCTCTATGAGGAAGCCAACACAAATAAATACTGAAAATTATACATTGAAAAAAATAATGCTTCATCAACTTGCACACTTAATAACTATGAGGAAGCAATGTGCAAGTTTCAACTTGTTATAGAGTTTAGAGATAAATTGAAGTGGAATGGCGAAATGCGTTCGTCGGATGCAATCAGATTTGACGATGACTAAAATTATACGAAAACTCAAATGCGATCCACTTAACGGCTCGCGCCGCATACGTGAAAAACGAAGGCAGGCAAATCCCGCGTGTCCATTATCCAAAACGACCCCCCGGCTAAGCGGTCTTAACGTTATGTTTAATGTCGCTGACGCGTATGATGTGCGATCCGATAATACGAGGCGCGAAACGCCAAGCGATTGCTCGCGCAACTCGCGAAATTGGCGTCACGCAATAAATTGATGACCCGACGTTGTTCGTCATGTTGCCGGCAACGCCGGCATATACGCGGCGCCATGTATCCAGGCTTTATAAGGGGATGCGGTCCAGAGAGAGGGAGAATGTGGCCGGGACGCGAGCTCGCCGCAGCCAATTACCGTTCCCTCATTAATCCGATTAATCATGAATTACACAAAAAGTCCGTTATCGCCTTAAAACGCGTGTCGCCGGCTCTTTAATAAAATCACACACACACACACACATATGTCGGCGACGCGTAACAAGTTCAACGTGTCATCGATCGCTCTCGCGCGTATATATTCTCTACGCCTCATTAACCGTCAGAGTGATGTTCTCCCGAAGAGAAGCGAGCGCGAGAGCCCTTAACCCTGAATATGAACAACGTTACGAAATTAGAGCTCCAAGTAACGCGGGGAAATATCACACTTCGGTCGGGTGAAATATGCTCGAATTCAGGAAGGAAGATAATTTCACGAATAAAAGCATCAGAATTAATTCTTGTTGGTTAAAATCGTAAGTGTTACATTAATATAATTCGCAACATTTTTAATGTTTTCAAAATAAAGATAATAGTAAACAAAATAGATAGTATAAATACTCTACAATATTCAGATACAAATTCAGATTAGTATTCAATTGACAAGACCATTAGAGCTATTTTTTATCTAAATTCTTTGTATCTGAAAATTCACGTTAATCATATTACTGCCTCTATCAATTGCAGCCATTAACATACGTAAAATAATAAAAAATTAATCGCATAAAAGATTACAATATAAACTAATTATCGTCACTCATTACTCATTTTTACGGTTAATATTTCCTCATTTATGACTAATTGAACGTTGAAATTGAAATGTTACTTTAACGTTAAGTGACTATCATTTTCGTATTAGAATGGAGAACCTGGCAGGCTCCAGCGTGCGTCCCTGACCTGGTGGGGGGTTGTCGCCACGTCATCGTATTTTCCGACAATTACCCTGTATACGCAGAGACAAATACGCGAGCTCTCTCTCTCTCTCTTTCTCATTCTGCGCGCGTGTCTCTCTCGCCCTCGCTTGCTCTCAAATTGAACGTGACGATCAGTGCCCAGGGCTAGCAAGTGTAGCGAACGATCGGCGGTGGCTGGTCGGCATGGGCGGCTCGCCGCAACCAATTACCACTCTCTCATTAACCCTGTAATAATCGCCGCGCCGTCTGCATCTCTCTTGCACCCCCCTCGCTTTAGATGCACACCTCGTGCACAACACGTGAGTATATAATCGCGTATGAAAAAGGGCGGACAGAAATAAACGGAAACGAAATAATCAACGGCGGATGCGACAACCACCAGGATCGGATCTAACATAAGGCATGCGCTTAGACTCCCGTTTTTAATGCGAACTTTAGAGTTTCGGAAATAAACGTTTATAAAGTCACTGACTATATACTGAATATTCGAAGAATATATATATAATTGATAACTGTGTATTTAAATATATAATATTTATTTTTAGATAACCAATCAAATTAGTGCTAGACTTCACAATGTTTAATTTTAACATTTAATTTTAACAATTTTTAACATATTAGGATAATTAATATATTTAATATATTTAATATATGTAATACATTT